CACAGCCTTAACACTTCTTCTATGTAAATGGTGCATGTTTCACCTGGTAGCTGTGTCCGTTGCGACAGTGTTTGCTCAGCCCGCTTTTTGTAGCAACCGAGTCACCGAAACACGCCTTGAGCTCTTGAACAAAAAGATCCCACGTCGTGAGTGCGTCCTCGTAGTTCTCGTATCATACCAGTGCGGTGTCGGTCAGGGAGAACACTACGTTGACTGGCATAGCGGCTGCATCCCAACCGTTGGACTTGCCCACACGTTTGTACTTGGTGAGCCAGGCGTCGACATCTTCGGCTTTTCCTCTGAAGGGCGGTGGAACTCGGTAGTACGGAAGCGGACCAGATGGTGCCGTCCTGGAAACGCCTGCTTCTTCGGGAATGTCGAAGTCACTCACGGCAGATGGTGGGAAAACGACAAGTCGACGGCTTCGTCAAAGCTGTGGCAGTGATCGTTCCGTAGTTGAAGCGCTTACCCAGCGCCTCCACCACTCTGTTACGTTTGAAAGAGACTGGTAGAGGTTGAAAGGGGCCATTTATTAGGTTGTGGAGAGCAGCTCAGAAGTTGCCGACTGATGCTGATGCTCATGCCGATGACCTCTGATGAATGGCGCTTACCCACAAAGGGGGATGGGCCAAGAACCGGGCGGCAGGATACTTAAATGAAACTAAACTGAAAATGAAGCCAATCTGAAAAAGTAGCTTAAAATAATACTACCAAAAAACAAAAATGTGTGCTGAGCAAGCGGTCAAACCATCTTTTGTTTTTGAAAGACATAACTACGAATAATAAACTAAAGATCTGAAAAGGTAGTGGTTCACTAGCATGGTAATCTTTTAGTTGCGTGGATGTAATCAAACCCAGCGGAGCATACATCCCTGTGGCAGTAACCAAATGAAGTTCCGCCAAGTGATAAAATTACTGGTAAATTTACTTGTATTCCTAGCTTTTGTAAAGGGGCTTCTTCCTTTCTGACTCTGGGTGACAAGTGCGTTCACCGTATACGCTTCTTTGTCTTCGTGCCTGTGCGCAACAATACTATACCCAATGACTATATCAAATTATCTGGCAACAAAAATAATTTAGTGCTAAATATCTAATCAGGAAGCATGTACAAATGTGCAGATCTTGTTTGTTGGGAATTCGAGTAAGTAGAGGTATAAGCATATGGTCCTAAAACGACTAAATATCAAAAGGATGTAGCAGCTTAGGGAAAGATGGAGGGCTGAGGTTATTGAAAATTGACGCGTTTTGCCCTTATCCACTATTCAACTTGTATTCTTTGCTTAGATTTTTCTTTTCACCCTTGTACTCGCTCTGAACTCTAAAAGAGCATCTGTACCACAGACTATCTGCATGCTGCCTAAAGCCCTCTACTCGCCAAAAAGGCAACAACTTCACCCATGCTTGATGGTGCCCACATCGTAACGCCTGCTCCTCATGTCCTTCTGGGGCACAACATCAAGCCACAAAACGTCATAACTATAGCCGTTAGCCGGATATATCTCCCTGTTATAGATTTTTGCTTCACGGAAAAAGTGCTTTTTCCGGTTGCAAAAGGCATCTCGGTTGCCACGCTTGCAATCCTCATCAGAAAACCACTTCACTACTTTCTCAGCAGACGTGTGGTGAAGTCTTAGTTATCACCAGCTGGATTTCACATGCCCCGAGATGACGCATAGCCTCATGATCACCCCAGAACTGAAGCCTGAAGAATATGCTGCCGTAAGTCGCCTTTTGGCTTACTACCGCGATATCGTCAATAATTCACCACTCGGCCAGACATCTCTGGTGAAGCACCACATTACCCCAGGTGGTTCTGTTTTCATTCACAGACCACCGTATCGGGAGCCTGCATCAGAGCAGAATGTTATTCAAGAAGTGAACAAAATGCAACTAAAAGGCATTATTAAGCCCCATAAAACTCTCGGGTGTCGCCCACCGTCCTTGTTGAAAAGATAACACGTGACCATTCTGCGTTGATGAAGGTTATGCAAACATCATTATGAAAAGGGGCATTTACCCTTTGCGTCAAATTTAGGAAGCTATTGACTGCCTACATGGTGCGTAATACGGCTCATCAATGGACCTTCGCTCCGGTTATTGGCAGATTTCCTTGAACGGGAAAGACCAAGAAAACACTTTGTTCGTCACTGCGGATGGAGTGTACCAATTCAAGGTTATGACATTCTGCGTCTGCAACGCCCCAGCTACGTTGAAGTCTATGATAGTCTCTCTTCTACAAAGGTCCAAGTGGTCAACATGCATGTGTTACCTAGACGACGTCCTCGTAATTTCGCATGCGTTTCAGAGCCACCTTCAGCGTCGGCCGGCTCTTTTCGACATCTTTCACATCAGTGGCCTCCAATGAATTGCGTCGTTGTATCATTTAGGTCACCTACAGGTTACAGTGTTAAGCAGCCGGTTTGCGCACGAAGCTGACTGCTACAAAGAAAACCTTGTACGATCTCATATAGACTTGTTTTATGAAGGATCATTCACACCACTTTAGGCGCCATTTGTCACTAGATAACGAGGGTCCTAGAGACATTGTCTTTAATGATGAACTTGTTACGGAATCCTCTCGTATTCCAACTTGTTTTCATGACTTTTTTCAATCAGTATTTACTGATAGTTCTGCGAATGATTTTTCACCCTTTGCACTTTAATCCCCGCACATTTCAACAATACCTGCAATAGAGTTGTCATATGAAGGTATTGTAGCGATTTTGCTTATTATTGAACATAAGAAATCTATAGGTCCTCATGGTAAACCAAATGCGTTTTACGCAGGTAATCAGAAGGGATAGGACGCAATCTTGAGATCATATTTAAGGCATCGCTAGTATAGAAACGAATCCCAGATGATTGGCTAGTTGCAAAAGTTGTTCCAATACACAAATTAGGTGGAAAGCAAGACATAGGAAACTACTGGCCAATTTCATTGATGTGCGTGTGGTGCAAGCTTCTGGAGCACATAATATCAAAATAAATCTACGGTTAACTTGAAAAACAAGAGGGTGTTTTATTCTTATCAGCACAGCTTTCTACAAAACCCATCCACTGTTACACAATTGGTAGAAACAATTATTGACTTTTCGACTGCAGTGAATAACTGAAAACAGATAGACGCTATGCTTAGAATTATCGAAGGCTTTTGACCGGGTTGTGCACACCAAGCTAATAAAAGAGCTAATGAAAATGAACATAAATTATGAAGTTGTATCGTCGATCCACTCGTACCTCACAGGTCCAACACAATACGTCGAAATAAACGGTAAGAAATCGGATCTGCTAAACATAACTTCAGGCGTACCACAAGGATTCGTTTTGGGACCCCTGCTTTTTCATTTACATAATTGATATTGCTAATGACATATGTGACGACATAACCATCAGGTTGTTTGCAGATGATTGCCTAGTATACCATGAAATGAATAACCAGAATGAGCTAGCGTCATTTAAGCAAACTTTTAGAGTTCTAGAAAGATGGGTCACTAAATGGCAAATGAAAATCAATGAATCAGAATCAGTTATGCTCATAGTTACGAACAGAAAAAAACGTTTATATCAATGTGAGTATGAGTTGACTTCCACAACTCTAAACGAAGCTGACTCGATAAATACCCAGGTTTATTCATTTCAAATGACTTAAGTTGTAAACCACGCATTAGAAGCATTTGTGCAGCTGCAGAAAAAAAGTTATGGTTACTTTGTCGCAAACTACACCTAGCAACACCATCCGTTAGTCTGCTTGCATATTTGACCTAGGTAAGGCCAACGTTACAATACGCCAGTGCGGTGTGGTATTCCTTCCAGTCTGGGTTAATAAAGCGAATTGAAAAAATACAGAGATAGCCGCAAGGCTAATTTTATCGCGTTATCTATGAAATGACTCCATTTCTGAAGTGCTTCGTTTCCTTGAATTGCCTACGCTGATTCAACGCCGTAAAGTTGATCGACTTAAATTGCTTTTTGTGCTATCAAAAGGACACCTCAATATTGAAATTGAATCTTATCTTATTCCCAGGCCCTTCAGCAATGTCAGATCATGCAGTCAGGTTGTGTTTTCGGCTCCAAAATGCAATCTTGATGTGTACGCGTATTGCTTTTTTCCACAAACGATAAAAGAGTGGAATCAGTTCTCAGTACTAATTCTGAATTCGAAGAGCATAGAAAGCTTTGAAAAATACATTAAAAATATGTCGTGAACATTGAGTGTTGCTATGTTTTTGTACATATATTGCCATGTTGTTTGAAAATACATCGTTGAGTTACTTCATATTGATTACTATACCACCGTCACATTATATGTATGTACCTTTTTACTAACAGCGTTTAAAAATTTAAATATTATTTTTCCTTTGTGTATTTTTAAGTTCTGTATTCATTACAATACGTTGTACTTGTTTTTGTTCTATGTTAACAATTACTGAACCCACCCTGTTATGACCATAACGGCCAACAGTATTTTGAAATATATAAATAAATAAAATCTGTAAAAAATTTTTTAGTAATGGTGCTAATGCTTATACACAGCTGTTTCTGGTCGCAGTTTGTTACGCCGCTGTCACCCTTATGTTCTTTCAAAAATAAAATGAGAAAATTTTATTTTATAAAATGATAAAATTGTTTTGCACAACTGCTTCTGGTTTAGTGTCAATGAAAGCATTTTATACCAGTTATCTATTTTTCTCCTTAACCTGGCTCACAGATACTTCACCCACTCCCTACCCTTTCCATATTTGTGAATCGTTATCTCACAATAGCGCATCAGCATCGTCCGAAAACAAAATTTTGCGTATGCAATTTGCTGGTTATGTATAATAGCTTCTGCAGGTTTATGTTGTTAGTAATATTTTGCTAAATTTTCTAACAGCTACGGCTTGGCAAAACAACTAAAACGGGATTTTGCTCAGTCATGTCCTATATAAAAGTAAACTTCAGCTGTTATGATTCATTTTGTGTTTTTCAAGAATATAATTGTCCCTTGATTTTTAACGCAGGAAAAATGAATGCCTGTTCCTTGGCTGGAGGAACCTGTAACCGTACCTGTCAAAAAGTAATTCCTCACGCCTGGTGTCGTCGACCTTTGAAGTGCTGTGCCCATGTAACTAACTAAGAAGACACTGTCGTAACTTACACGCTTGCTTATCCTCACCCTCGTTCTTAAAAAAAACATGCAAAAGTCAGTCGCCTTGTATCTTGGTTATTTTGTGTAAAAATTGTGTACACGCTCATATACAGCTTAACTATCAGTGTATATCGAACACTAACGGAAGTAAATAACAACGTGTTGTGAGTAAAAACTAATTACTAGCTGAAATTTTGTAGCATCAAATAGCTGAGCTTCGTATTATGTACGGAAATTGATACCATTATTCCGCATGGTTAACATCATCTTCTGCTTCATTTTCAATCTTCGAGTCACTGCGGACACTTCAACTGCGGCGAGAGGAAACGAGCGTTTGTCCACATGACATTTGCTGTTGCATTTTTTCTTAAGAACAAAACCAACAACAAAACGAGCTCTCCTTAGGTGTTTGCGGCAATTGAATTTCGCAAGGGCCCACTAAGGCATTATTTGTCGTTTGCAAAGCCAGGGAAGTACCCAGCAGGCGTCCCTAAGGGACCCCTAAACCACAATCAGATGCTTGCTGCTGCTCTCCTTACATTTCTTCTACTCCCAACAGCTGGTATGATGTCAACTGCATCATTTGTGGACGCCGTCAACAAGAGATGCTGTCAGTGGCCAAAAAAAGCCTCTTTTCAGCTAGCAGAAACACGTGTTTGTGCGTTTTCACCTTGGACGCTGAGGAAGGGCACTACGAGAGGTGGTGAAAGAAGCCGACGAATGCAGCCTAGCAGAGAAAAGAGGGAAACGAGGAAACGCATAGAACTCCAGCAGCGTTCACTGCAGACTCGTACCCCACTGCAATGCCACATCAACGATTCGGTCTCTCCGTGCTTCAACAGGTAAATCAGTAACAGACACTTGCAGACTCCTCTCTCTTTCTTTTCTTGATCAACAACTGCTGTCATGACATCACCTGAATAATTGTACTCTGTTTCCCTACTGTGGCTCAGCACTGCACACGGCGACAACTTTTCTTGACACTGAAGGCAAAGCTACGGAGGCGGAGCTTCTGCACATGTAGCACTACGCGAAGTAGACTGTTTTGGCGCCCGTCTCGTAAAGTTACGGTGTTGCACCAGCAGCGTTTAATGTAGACGCAGGCGCCGCTTGGCGTTTGAAGTGCATGTAAAAAAATGGCAGCATATCCACGGAGTGAATGATGGGGAGTGGGGCGAAGCATTCGTCCGTCCATTCGTTCTTGCTTCCGTCCTTTCCTGCGTACGTCTGTGTAACCGTCCATGCGTCCATCCACCCGTACGTGCGTGCGTCTGTTCGTGCGTCCGTCCCTGCGTTCGTCCATGCATCCGCGCCTGCGTCCGTTCATGCCTCCATCCATGCATCTGTCTGTGTGTCCGTTCGTCCATCTATTCAGCACTCCAAGTACCACCATCTCCATCTTTTCATCACATATTCTCAATATAGAAGCACCGCCATCCAGCGGACATTTCAAGGACTAAACGGGAGGTGGCACATGCACAATTCTTACGGCTTGCGCTTCGGATTTACTTCCCACCTTTAACCACCTCCAGTTCATGGTATATACTAGTTCACTGTATTCATGGCTATGTGGCCCAACGCTCGCTAAACCTTTCTAAAACCAAGGAGGTTACACCCAGCGAGTATAACGTAGCAAACCTTCCTTGTCAGATTGTGCTCAATGTACATGCCAATAGCTGCTAGTGGGGATCGCAGCGTGCGCGTTACCTAAAGGCCGAATGCTCCTGTCTCTCATTCCCCCTTAGCAGCCATTGACATGTGCATTGAGCACTATCTTTTATTGTTCAACAGCGCACAGAAGAAATCTCTCACCGGAACCACCTTGGAGGTCAAAATCGTAAGGACCGCTATTTCGGGTACGTGCCACTGGTGGTTACGCACTACGAAGAACGCACAAGACGCCATAGGAGCTTCGCCCCTAAAACGTGGCACTTTCTCGAGCGTTCAAAAATGTGAAACCACAACGAATAAATTGAATATGAATGTCTTAAAGGACCGCTCACCAGGCTCCATACCGAATTTTAGTTAGACAGTGGAAGTTGCTGGGTGTTCGATGAGGAACGTTTTGCCACAAAACTTTCTCGAATCGGTTCATTACGAACGGAGAAAACAGGTTTTTCCAAGCGGCGCGAAACGAGGGTGAGAGGAGGCGAGCTCGAAACCCTTGCCGCTCCTCCGCGTAGCCTTCGCAAGCCAAACCTCTTCCCCACCCTCTCCGGCATCCGACCAAGAGGTGACGTGCGCATGACATGCACAAACAGGTCAAGCCCCCCATGCACGCGAGCGGCGTTGCTTTGTTGACCAGCGTTATTTTGTGGTCTTCTGCCTGTTTTCGGGATTGTTTGGAAACGCTGGCTTAGACGCGGTAGAGTAGATGAGCACAATGAGTGCGCGAACGCGTAGGAGCGTTCCACGGTGGTCATCTGCTCAATGCGCTGACCGTGGGAACCCGAAAGCTTGTGAAACGCTGGCACATTAGCCCCGCATCTCGTAGCATTTCACGGGAAAAAATGTAAGAAAAAACGTGCACATTTTTTATTGCGTCTCTTTATTTTTTTTTCAAGTTTTTCTCATCTCTAAAAGCAACAAATACATAAACTACGCATGTTGTTTTAAACAATTTTTGCCATGTCACGTGGTATACTGTTGACCACGTGAGAGCAGAGTTGTCTACATAGAGGACCAACGTGACCGCAGTGGTGTGTACGTAGGGCCAATGTTACGCCCACGTCATGCCCTCATTCTTTACGCGTGCGCAGGTAGACGGAAGAGCGAGCAGCTTTCATCTTGAAATTTGACCCATTTCCTCGGCGCGTAGCGTTGCAAACTTCGGCAGACGTGATCGTCAACGCCTCGTCTACGCATTGCGCTTGTCAGCTCAAAATTGTCAAAGCTGGTGAGTGGCCCTTTAAAGGTAGGAGCTTCGTCCCGTCTCAAATAGCTCCGCGTAGAAAATAAAGGGGAAATTCTAAATTTCACGGCGAAAATACGGGTGCTGTTGTGGAACTACATTCACTGGTGGTAGGGTGCACGTAATATGGCTTTGTAGCATTCACTCCAATGCCAATAAAAGTTGTCGCCGAGTATACCAAATATACGAGGTGAAACTTGCGCAGTAAATCATAGTCCTAGATACAATAGGTGCCTTAAGATTGACAAGGTTGACTGAACTTGGTGTTGGTTTTGTGTTTGTTAAGCCACATGGATACATGACACGTTTGCTTTTCAGATTTATTTCGTACGCATCAAACCATTTGTGTCGGTCACTGCCGATGTGTGTTTACGAATCAACATGGCAGCACCCAGGCAGAAGCGACCACCTACTTTGCTTCGAACTTTCTCTTTTTTAGCTACTCGCGTGCTGCGCTGACACCATGGAGGAAAAACTGACAACCACAAATGAATGATGAAATCAGCCATCGATTTTTTTCATATTACTAGTGACCTAGGATAAAGCATCAGGTACGTGTTGTCGTTATTAGAGATATGCTGCTTCCTTAGCAGCACCTTTTAAGCCCAATGCGCTGAGGAAGTCCTTGAGCTGGTTCGCCAGACGAAAAACACTGCATCCCCCATGTACATGCAACCTGGCACAGCGTTTCGTGCGCATCGCATCCTCCTTTTGTGGGAAAAATGGCAGCATACCCAAAGGGTGAATGACGGAGTGGGGGGCGAACCATCCGACCAATCAATCGTTCTTGCTTTCATCCGTCCATGCGTCTGTCTGTGTGACCGTCCGTGCGTACATCTGCCTGTCCATGCCTGCGTCTGTTCGTACGTCCACACGTCCATCCGTGCGTCCATACCTGTGTTCGTCCATGCATCCCCCCTGCGTCTCTTCATGCGTCCATCCGTCCTTGCACTCATCCGTGTGTACGTCCATGCATCTGTGTGTATGTCCGTTCGTCCATCTAGTCAACACTCCAAGTACCATCTTGCTTCTTTTAATCACATATGTGTCCGTCTGTGTGACTGTCCATGCGTTCATCCACTCGTCCATGCGTGCGTCTCTTCATGCGTCCGCACGTCCATCGGTGCGTCCATCCATCCATCCGCCCCTGCGCCCGTCCACGTATCCATCCGTTCTTGCAGCCATCTTTGCGTCCGTCCATGCATCTGTCTGTGTGTTCGTTCATCCATCTAGTCAGCCCTCCGAGTACCACCATCTCGCACCTTTTCATCATATATTCCGCATATAGAAGCACCGCCATCAAGCGGACATTCCAAGGACAAAACGAGAGGTTTTTTTTATTGATATGATATATAAGGAGATGTTGGCGCACCATTATGGCGCCGGCTATTCCTTAGCCGTTGATTGAAACTTGAACACGTATCTTGAAGCAAAACATACAAAGCAGTGCATGGAAAATAGAAAACTCAGGCACAGATATGCAAAGACACACTTATACGCACATATCACAATGGTAAGTAAATGTTTGAAAGTCATTGTAAGAAGTCTCTGGAAACAACAAAACACAAACAACAAACACAAAACACAACAACAAAACAACAAAGCACACGTCTGGTCCTTATAAAGATGCATTCGCTCGTATGTACATAATATTCGACACGTGATTCATTTCACAACACACACGTGATGGGTGTCATATTATACTGTACATAATAAGTACATGTCTTACAAATGAAAGCTTGTTCTTTGTTAATACTTGTCAGCAATCCCACTGTCTTGTGAAAAACGTGTTAATGCTTTTAAAGCGTGGGACTGTAAAACTCCAGTTGGCCACAAGCCCAGAAGTTTTTTCATGCTAAATGGTCTGTGGTCCAATGCGAACAGTTCGCTTTTAAGACGGCGTCTCGGCGTGTCATGATGTGGACAGTTTATGAGAAGGTGACAGGCGTCTTCATCTATAAATCCACAATCGCATTCGGGAGTTTCAGCTCTGTCGATTCTGTGCAAAAATGTTTTGTGTATGCAGTGCCTTGCCTCAATCGGTGAATTAGAGTTTCCATC